TCCCCCACCCCCCCCCCCCCCCCTTTCACAAGTTGTCAAGCTTACCTTCTGAGAATTTATAGAGAGGGGTAATATCCTCCATGTCTGGAGAAAGAACTTTCTTTGTGCATACCTTATACCCAACTCTGAAAAAAAAATCACAGGTAAGGCCGATATTTAATGCTAAGATTTCTGAGCAAATGTTTCAGTTAATTGTGGGAAATATGGGCTTTATATTCATTGTAATATGCTGCTATAGCATGATCTTGCATAAAAGCTGTAACTGATGAATAAATGTGTGTATGACACTGTGTGTGTGTGTGTGTGTGTGTGTGTGTGTGTGTGTGAGATTGTATTTGCATGGGGTGGGCATGATTGAGGGTGACAAATATTCTAAGTACAAAAAAGAAAACATTGCTCTTTTAAGGTTAAAACCTTTTGCAAACAATTAAGGGTCAACATCCTCTTATATATGAAGTACATCAACCTTTTGGTCTTATGGTAAGTTAAGACCCAGGTTAACCATTTTAATGGTTAATTAAAATTGTTCTGGTTGCTATATATTAACGGGGTTTGGTATATGTTTTATTAGTGCCTATATTTGGCAAAATAGTTTTTTCCCATTCGTATTTAATATTGTTGGAATACAAATATGACTTTTAGAGCACATAAACCATTTTTTGTTGCATTATTCACCACCCGTCACATTTCTGCGGTTATAATGTGACCAATTTTGATGCTTTGATATATATATATACTTATCTGTTTCCAACATAACTTTACGTAAGATATTATCATGAAAATTGGCAAGGTAGAACACTACATTGTGAGTGATACATGTAAAACCACAATCTGGTTCAAGCATCTGGGTTTCATTTGTTTCCTTCAGGTGATATGAGCCCCTAATAATGAGAAACTTCCATTAACCATTAATTTGCATTTAATTTTTCGTATTTACTGAGAAAATCAGAAGTTTAAACCTTTGAAGGAATTTTCCCAGCACCAGATAGTAGAACTTATTGTTGTGGTGATGTAGGCATTGAAAGGGTGTTGATTGCTGTTCACTGGTAAGAGGAAGATAATGCTTGACATTTATTTTACAGTGCCCCCCCCCCTCCCACCACCAAAATACAGCCATTATGTCTTTACCTGTAGCTCAAGGTACAAATTCATTGGATATATTTTTATGCCACAGCATGATTTCAAAACATGAAAACGTTTATTTAAACAGATAAGGAAAAAATGTTAAGTGACTGATGTCCCTTTAAAAACAAGACCACTGTGGGATACGTAGAACAGTACAGACTGCTATTGCCTGATGACCATTGCAGAACATATTAAAGAAATTAAGACTCACAGCTCTTTATAAATTTTCTGAACAGCCCAAGAAGTATCCACTTGTTGTTGATAAATCACTTTGTCTCCATTGACTTCGGCAAAGATGAATGGCCCATCATAAGGCAGGTACACCTGACCTGCCTTGATAGCATTAAGGGAACAAGGGCCTGCACAGAATACACCTGAAACAATGGGAACCAATACAGCATGAAATGAAAAAAAAATGCTTTGCAACAGGTACACTCCTGCTCAAAGTGAAATATCTTAAATTGGTCTGTTGGATTTCAGGAAATATTAAGTAAAATGAAAGGTTTTATAGTGTGCTAAGTGAGATGGGATTTTCATGATGTGTTCGGCAAACAATAAACCAGGATGTGAATATATATATTTGGTTATGTTGTGTGTGACAATGAACCAGGATGAGAATATTTGATTGTGTTTGATGTGACAATGAACCAGGATGAGAAAATTTGATTGTGTTAGGTGTGACAATGAACCATGATGTGAACATTTGGATTTGTAATACGTGATTTCTTTGACGTAGGTACATTCCTGCTCAAAGTGAAATATCTTTAGTTGGTCTGTTGGATTTCAGGAAATATTGAATGAAATGAAAAGGTTTTATAGACTAAGTGTGTTAAATCAGATTGGGTTTCCATGATGTGTTAGGTTTGATAATAAACCAGGATGTGAATATTTGGTTGTGTTATGTGTGACAAGGAACCAGGATGTAAAAATTTGGATGTTTTACATGTAACAATGAACCAGGATTTAAATATTTGGATGTGTTAGGTGTGACAATGAACCAGGATTTAAATATTTGGTTGAGTTGGGTGTAACAATGAAAAATGAGAACATTTGGATTTGTAATATGTGCCAGTGTACCTACCATCACTGAGTTCCTGTGGAGTAGCATCAATAGCCTGCCAACCGTCATGTCCAGGGGGAAGTTTAGGGCGACACATCCAGACGTCATTCCACACGTGGAAGTTCCTATAAAATTTTTACTCATTTCAAACAGATATAATACATTAAACAACAGATTTATCATAACATCTATATATTATATCATATCATATCAATTAAAATCATGTAATATTAATATGCATATCTAAATGCAGATACCTTTTCACTTACCAGAGAGAATCACTACACCAACTGTCTATGTATTCGCCTTCTGCATCCATGTATGCTGATAAGGTGATGTTACCATCAGTGTCATGTGCTGAGCTAAAATTGGTTACGGATCTGCAAGGTATTCCAAGACAACGACAAACTGTAAGGAAAAAAAATGCAAATTGAAAATAAAAATACTGTCCATGAGAGAGAGAGAGTAACATTACATAATAATAATAATGATTTATTCAGCTAATACACACACACACACGCGCACACACACACACACACACGCACACACACGCGTGCACACACACACACACACACGTATCATCATCATCATCATCATCAGAGCTCATAAAAATCAAATATAGTCCTCAAAATGCCAGTTGTGAAAATTAAATAATTATCATAATTAATGTATAAAAAGACAGATCATCTGAAGTTAAAGCAAGAAAAAACCTAGGGTAAAAGGTATTTTAACAACTTAGACCCCATTCCCAGAGATTACATTGATCCAAACTAGATCGACCTAACTCCTTGGGGGTTCACGCTAAATAGCTGTCAGCCGAGTGGGCACGAAAATTAACTACCCCCTTACAGCTTGTAGTAGGCGGGACGGACATTTGAGCCAGATTATCTGACAGTAATCTAGTGAGACTCCCAACTGACTGATCATGATCTGCTGATGTTCTCCCCTCCTCCCTCCACATGCATCACTAAACAGATTATGAATCATGGCTTCAAGGTTTAATTGCTAGGCCCATGCAGGGAAAGCACCTGTGGAGGTGGAGAGACCATTATGGGAATTAAAGCAGTCTTAATTGCTTTCATGCTGGGTCAGCCATATTTGATCCGTGGATCAGTAGATCCAAGGATCATCTGTTCAGAATGGACTCAGAGAGAGAGAGAGAGAGAGAGAGAGAGAAGATACCTGTTGTCACAACTCCAGAGAACACCCAGCACTGCCCAAACTGAACAGGTTTCTTTGTCTTGCAGTATTCTAACAGAATGGCCACACTACCGGCCCACTTAGTAGGGCGAGTGCCACCTTCATAATTCCCAGACCAGTTACCAACCAGCACTCCATTATCATCAGGGGCATTCACCTGAAAAAAATGAATCAGTGTTTTTATTTACCAAATTAAATGTAAATCATATTCATAAGTGTATTGTCATGTCCAAAAAAAGCAACACATGAACCTAAATTTATGAAATGAAATACTGTAGCCTTCAAAAATAACTAATAATAACTATTGAGTTATAATTTAGCTAATGTTGCATTATGATTGTATTATATTTAAACTCTGCCTTAATTCTTCAATTCACATTCGTCAAGTCGTCATATTTGAGTGTAAGTTCACCTTCTAATCTGACACCCTGCCATACAGTTAAGTTGCAGTTTCTTCTACAGTATACTCAGGGTAAGTGTTTGCCATTAATTTAGGCTGAAAGTTTGCCTGTCAAGTTTCAGGTTATTCAGTAGCAGCCCATTTTTCTGGTTTTTCAATGTTCATTTCCAAATCTAATTAATCAGATACCAGCAATGCATAAACATTCCTAAAATTCTGAATTTCACGGAGGATAATAATGGACTCATTTTTAAGGAGATGACATATGCCAACTCAAGTTAGTGCCACAGTGAAAGTTATTCACAAACATCATACATGTAAAGACCAAAAGTGAGTTTTTTTTTAGTTTTTATACAATAAAAATAAAGAGCAGTACGTAGGCCATTATCCACCAGATTTTCCAATAATTAATATTTTACCATTATTCCTACCAATGTAAGTCAATCTCAAAAGCTGAAATAACTGAAATTTAAATGCATGCATTCATAATTTGGAGCAGGATTGATATTCATTATTTAAGCTGGTGGTCAAATCCATAAGGTATTTTAATAATAATATTTAAAATTATATTATATATATATATATTTTTTAAATTGAAATTTACTTACAATAGCTGAAATCTTTCTGACAATTTGCACAGGGTTACCCCTAGCACTGGGGGCCAGGCCGCAATTATCCAACAAGGAGAGACAACAGTCCAACACAAAGTCTTCAAACTGAAATTAATAAAGTGACTATAGATAATATGAAATACATTTTTCAAAGAGAAACAATGAAGGCAAAAAGAAAGGACATGACTGCATGTGCTCAATCCCCACTTATGATAATCTACATGGAATGTACCTGTCTACAAACCAACACATGCACAATAATATAAAGATACATTTCAAACATTTTCAAGAGCCATAACATCCTCAGGTCTGCTGTTTATACATGAAGACGTTTATTCTGTAATCCAGAGCCCCCGACCCAAAATACAACTTCACTATGTTTTAACGACTAGTAGTAATTACATGTACTAAATACATATGTGTACACAGAAAAANAAAAACATATGTGCACACAGAAAAATACAAGAAGAATGCATACCTGTCCAAAGTTCCATGGTCTATATCTGATTTTTTTCTTACTTCCAGTATAAATCCTTCCCGTTTGAGCCAAAACATACTCTTCACGATGGTCCTTTTCTGGCATGTACACTTGATCGTCTGTTTACAAAACATAGTTGAACACTTAGAATTGATGGAGGGTGTGTAATTCAGTAATTATTACCTCTTCACTGCAATCAACAATTTGAAAGGCACTTATAAAACTTGTCTTAGACCCCATTCCCAGAGATTAGATCGATCCAACTAGATCGACCTAACTCCCTGGGGGTTCACGCTAAATAGCTGTAAGTCGAGCAGGCACGGAAGTTAATTACTCCCTTACAGCTTTTAGTAGGTGGGGCAGATGCTTAAGCCGGCTAAGCTGACAGTAATCTAGTGAGACTCCCCACAGGGATAGATCGATCTAAAATCTATGGGAATGGGGTCTTAAAGTTACATATTTGATTTTCACTACTGCACATTAAGGATGCAGAATGAACAGCTAACAAAAGGACACCTGTTAAAACTTTATATCAGAAAAAATTATAAGTTTTAAGCAAGTTAAAAATTAGGCTTTTCATAAAATTATCATTGGCAGACACAATGATGTAGGGAATTGTTTAAGTTTCCAAATAGTTCAAATATCCACAAAAAAAGACAGTGGGAGAAAAAAAAACAGTTGTGGTTATCATTACTGCAGTGAATATCTTTTTATTTTTGTTCATTCAGCTCATCACGTAATCCCTCACTCAGTCACTCTTAAATTACCACTCAAGAGTCATCTGTTTACTCATTTATATCTAAGAACTGCTCTAGTACATTCAAAGTTTTATTAAATCTATCAAATATGAGATTCTTTAAGAAGATATGCTCTGTGAAAACACACTACCACCATATTGGCATAAATAAGTTGTGCGCCAAAAACACAGTTAAAGGGATAATAACTCTTCGTATGAGACCTATATTTCACAATAAAAACCTTGTGAATAACTCATAGAAATATAATATATTCTGTTTTACCACAAAAACAGCAGTTATAGCTTTTATTCTGATATTTGAACTTGTCTTTAGACCACGTGACCTCCATTGATGTCTATACTCTGTTAAAATCTCTTAAGAGATTTTAACAAAAAACCAAACTTTTTAGAAAAAAACCATGGACTAACTTTGAATGTAAAAATGGATTCATTAACCATTGGTAAGTATGGAAAAATTGTTGTTTACTCCAGGAAAATTCATTTTTTGGCCAAAACGAAGAGTTATTATTGCTTTAACATTTTGACATACCTTCGCACCATGGGTTAAACAGTATATAGACTTTGTTGGGATGAGCGTAGCGCAGAACTTCCACAGTTCCATCTTTCTTTTTCACAATGGTGTCCACGTTCAAGGTCCATTTTCCAACCTTACAATTGGGTGGTGTGGCAACGCTGACCGAGACTGTACTTTGGTCATTTCCAGTGACAGAGAGAATTTCAGCTCCCCAAGCCTTGGGTTTATCTTTGGCTGATACTTTGAAGGAAACTAGTGTTTCTTCTCCTGGCTTGGGGTTTGCTCCTACAATAATCGTATAGAAAAAACTGTCATCATCAAACTCTATAAGAATACATGTACAGCACTGAAATTTGGTGAAATAGTTTTTTATTTATTTCTCCTGTTTATTGGTTGTTAAAAACTCAATAAAAACCTTGAACATGTTTAGCTTTCTTTTGGAATCAGTTTACTTTTTTACCACGTTGTAATGGTTTTCATTCAATAATATATCATTCTGATTTAATGGTCACAAAAAAAAAAAAAAAAAAAAACCTCAAGAACATAAGTCATAAGTTTAAGTACCNAAATACATATGTGTACACAGAAAAATACAAGAAGAATGCATACCTGTCCAAAGTTCCATGGTCTAAATCTGATTTTTTTCTTACTTCCAGTATAAATCCTTCCTGTTTCAGCCAGAACATACTCTTCACGATGGTCCTTTTCTGGCATGTACACTTGATCATCTGTTTACAAAACATAGTTGAACACTTAGAATTGATGGAGGGTGTGTAATTCAGTAATTATTACCTCTTCACTGCAATCAACAATTTGAAAGGCACTTATAAAACTTGTCTTTAGACCCCATTCCCAGAGATTAGATCGATCCAACTAGATCGACCTAACTCCCTGGGGGTTCACGCTAAATAGCTGTCAGTCGAGCGGGCACGGAAGTTAATTACTCCCTTACAGCTTTTAGTAGGTGGGGCAGATGCTTAAGCCGGCTAAGCTGACAGTAATCTAGTGAGACTCCCCACAGGGATAGATCGATCTAAAATCTATAGGAATGGGGTCTTAAAGTTACATATTTGATTTTCACTACTGCACATTAAGGATGCAGAATGAACAGCTAACAAAAGGACACCTGTTAAAACTTTATATCAGAAAAAATTATAAGTTTTAAGCAAGTTAAAAATTAGGCTTTTCATAAAATTATCATTGGCAGACACAATGATGTAGGGAATTGTTTAAGTTTCCAAATAGTTTAAATATCCACAAAAAAAGACAGTGGGAGAAAAAAAGACAGTTGTGGTTATCATTACTGCAGTGAATATCTTTTTATTTTTGTTCATTCAGCTCATCACGTAATCCCTCACTCAGTCATTCTTGAAACACCACTCAAGAGTCATCTGTTTACTCATTTATATCTAAGAACTGCTCTAGTACATTCAAAGTTTTATTAAATCTATCAAATATGAGATTCTTTAAGAAGATATGCTCTGTGAAAACACACTACCACCATATTGGCATAAATAAGTTGTGCGCCAAAAACACAGTTAACATTTTGACATACCTTCGCACCATGGGTTAAACAGTATATAGACTTTGTTGGGATGAGCGTAGCGCAGAACTTCCACAGTTCCATCTTTCTTTTTCACAATGGTGTCCACGTTCAAGGTCCATTTTCCAACCTTACAATTGGGTGGTGTGGCAACGCTGACCGAGACTGTACTTTGGTCATTTCCAGTGACAGAGAGAATTTCAGCTCCCCAAGCCTTGGGTTTATCTTTGGCTGATACTTTGAAGGAAACTAGTGTTTCTTCTCCTGGCTTGGGGTTTGCTCCTACAATAATCGTATAGAAAAAACTGTCATCATCAAACTCTATAAGAATACATGTACAGCACTGAAATTTGGTGAAATAGTTTTTTATTTATTTCTCCTGTTTATTGGTTGTTAAAAACTCAATAAAAACCTTGAACATGTTTAGCTTTCTTTTGGAATCAGTTTACTTTTTTACCACGTTGTAATGGTTTTCATTCAATAATATATCATTCTGATTAATGGTCACAAAAAAAAAA